TTTTAATTCTGTTCCTTTAGAAGTAAACACTAGTGCTTGATTTGCTTTTGCGATGTCCTTATTAATCTGTGTCATTAGTTGGGCTGCATTTGCTGACACCCAAGAGCATTCATAGCAGCAGTAAAATCTTTCAAAGATATACAAATAGAGAGTGATAACCTAATGTCTAAAAATGAGAAAAAACAATGAAAGAATGTATCAGTGAAGAAAAATAAGAGTTAAAACAGGGTAGAATTTATTTTAAATTTAAAAAAAATCACTTTCCAAATGCGCATGCATAATTTAAAAAAAACGGAGGTGAGCATGTACAGTTGTCATTCATTATATAATTGTTGAAATGACAGAGTTAATTATATTTCTTTTTGAAAGCTCTAGTGTTTTATTATTTGATTTTTTTTTGTCCATGATGACACTTAGAAAAAAATGTTCAGAAAATTCAGCTATAAACTGAGATGAATATTGCATGTAGTGGCCCCTCAAAAATCCGACTATTTATAATTACTTTGCTCCAGATGAGTCCCACATGCAGGCTTAGTGACTCCCAGGAGGCAGCGGGGTAAGTTATAAATGTCCCCTTGCTTGGCAAATGCAACAAATCTGCATTCAGTTGGTTATAATTAAATAATTTGGGATTGTCTAGGATTATGATGAATTACTGTGTTCAACATGGTTGCTGTCTCTTCTAAATATATATTTATTGAACAAAGACCTGCAAACTGCAAGTTCTTCCATACGTTAAGATTCAAAAGAAAAACCCAAGTGTGCTCCTTTTCTTCCTGTAGCCCTAATTAAACAGTTAAAGGCTCCCAAATGCTAGTACAATGGGTTATCATTTAACTTCGCTTCATTTAATGTTATTTCACTTGTACACTGGGCAGTAGAGCGGCTCAGTGGTTAGCGCTGCTGCCACACAGCACCAGGGACCTGGATTGGATTTCAGCCTTGGCTGACTGACTATCTGGAGGTTGCGCGTTGTCTCCTTTTCTGCATGGGTTTCCACCAGGTATTCTGGATTCCTCCCACAGTCCAAAGATATGCAGGCTAGGTGATTGGCTGTGCTAAATTGTCTGTAAATTGTCTTGGAATGTGTAGGCTAGATGGATTAGCAATGGTAAATGCGGGTCTACGGAGATAGGGTGGGCATGCTGGTTCTGGGTGGGTGCTTTTCGAAGGGTTAGTACAGACTCGGTGGGCCGAATGACCTCTTTCTGAACTGTAAGAATTCTATTCTACGTTGCATAATCAGCTTTTACATGAATTTATATGAGAACCTATGTTTCAGTTAAAGTCATAGTTAATGAAGACCTACTGGAATCCCCCATTCATCCTTTTCTATCATTCTTTTCAATTTGCTGCCAAATGTACCCTGTTGTTGACTGCCCTTAAACTGCATCTCAGTGGTCTATAATGCAATGAGGAGTGGAAGAAATTCTGTATTTTTTTTCTCCCTCTGGTGTGTATAATCCTATTATGTAGTCATTTCTTTGGAGGTGGTTAACATCAGGGACCTATGATTTTTAAAAAGAGTGTCTCTTCAATGGCCTAGATCGCTGGCACAACCAAATGTGTTGTATCACTTTGCTGAAACGATCTGTAATTCTTTTATCAGCTGCCAAAAATACCTTCTCCTGTTTTAAGCATTTCTTGATTTCAGTTGAATGATAGAGCAGTCCTCAATTTAACCAAGTTGAAAAAACCCTTTAATTACTGAGATATGAAGTACAGTAACAAAGTTTGTTTGCCTTTAGGACTATCCATTGATACCTGTGAGTGAAGAGGCCACAGGCTCCTGGCAGACTGGAGCCTGTGCTCTGTCACACCCACATTGTTGGCTAACCACTGGAAGGATAAACAAACACAACTAATTGGCGTTACTATATCTTCTGGAAACTAAATTGTGGTCTAATTTTTAGACCATGTTTTTTCCAGACAAGCTTCAGCTTTTAAGTAAACCCTCGATTTAAAAATTGCTCTTTTCCAAAGTGATTTTAAATAGCTGTTATTTAGAATATGTTAACTCGCAGTGCACCCTCGCTAGTGTTTTTTTTAAAAGTTTCTGGATGATTTATTTAAGTGCACGGCCCCTTTAAACATGTTTTGCATCGACTTGCATGTGTGATGTGTGACCTGCATGCAGGGAGCAATTGCAAAGGTGGTTAGTTTCTGAGAAATGATTATCTTTAATTTTTGCTTTAAATTTCTGTGTGCCAAACTCTGCCTGAATAACCTGTACCTTAAGGTAATTCCGAATTTGTTGGAGAACGCAGCGATAAAGCTGCAATGATTAGCTAGCTCTTTAAATTTAAACGTGTGCCCTTTCATTTTCCACCCTGTTGGGAACTGTCAAGTCTCTGACATTGTTTCGTTATTCCTTCTCCTGTGTTTCCACCCTCTGGTATGCTGAGTGAGAGATCTGGCTGGAAGCCCAATCATACATTGCTATAATTTTTGCCACATTGGATGATCGCAACATTCAAATCCTTTATCTGCATGTTTGCAAACTGAAAAGACCCAAAAGCCTTTTGGAAAGGGCACCTGAACAGAATTGTAGATGCGCTGAGTTCGGGTCCTTTGGAAGAAAATCTTTGCTTGGGATAAATGGACCTAAAAGTGAAGGATTTTTTTTCCTAAGGCTCAAACTCAATATGCTTACAAGTCTGTTTGTGTGCATTCGGGCCATTTTTTTTCCCTGAGGGACCAGAGGGGACGCAAGCAAACGTAAGTGGTAAGTGCAGCAACAAATGGAGACAAAGAATTGTAAGTGCAGAGACAATGAGAAAAAAGTTTACAAACACCACAAGGATTTTGATAATGATAACGTTAACCCATGCCTAAACAGACTGAGTTGTCAAATGAATATTTTGCTTTTGCTTATAAGATGCTTAAGAAAAGATCTTAAAGGATAAGGTATCCGAAAACCAAAAATATTCTTTATCCGATAAGAGTTGGTTCTGAAGTTTTTGGATAAAGGATTCCCAATCTATAATAGCATCTAGTTGTATCTGATTCTAAGTTGGGAAAAGTATATGCTTATGCATTTAATTTAATTGGTTTTTGCTTTACATATGGAATTGCCTGAATAACCTTGGCAGGGATTTGAGATGAGCTTGAAGTAGGAGGTCAAACCTCCTACAACATATCCTCATAAGCTCCACAACATATTTGCAGAGGTGCATCAATGGCCTTTTCCTCCATCTTAAAACTGGAAGTAGAGTTGTTTGGTAATAATGCTGGTCTGCAAAACTTCCACAATATCTCTGATTATGAAGCAGCTGAAGCCAGGATACACCAGAGCCTGGATGATACTAAGGCTTGGACTGATGAATGGCAGGCAAGATGCACCTTATGCATATTTGGTACTGACTGTTGAACAAAAAAAAGCCTAACAATTTTCTGTGCCCTTTAAAGACATAACCAACAACATCATCAGGGTTCTAACGATCTAGAAGCTCAACTAGGCCTGGAAGGTCAATACCATGCCTGCAAAAGAGTAGAGGGTGGCTACTTTACAACTGGTGTTTCACCTGTTACCTCAAAGCCTTTTCACCATCTACAAGATTCACATAAGGTATGTGATGAATGCTCGTCATTTACCTGTATTGGAGCAGTCACTCAAATATATGTGGCATAACTATTGCCTGCTATTTGGCTCTATTCATCTCCCCTTCACAGTGGCACACTGTGGCAGCACTATATTTATTCTAGTTGCTGTTTTATTGTGACACTCATTGTAGAAAAAAGCAGCAGCATTATGTACGCATCATAACCTTCATGTTTCCGCCTAATTGTATGGCAGTCTGATATGGGCATATATTGTCGATTCCTCATTGCCACTCGGCAGTGATCTGGAATTCCCTCCCCACTTGCTAATGCCATAAATTCAAACACTGCAGCAGTTCAAGGGTAAGGACGACTTCAGGGTAAGTAGAAAAAGTCCATTCTTGCAGTCTTGTCACTGTTACACTCATTCTCATTCTGAGAAGTTTAAAAATAGTTAGGTATAATGCAGCACTTAATTTGATGTATCAAGTCCTTTGATCTTGCCCATCTATATACAGTAGGGAAGAAAAACTAATGATAAATTTCTATGTGCCTGGTTTTAGATAACAGCTTTTATTCTTTCTTGACACTAGTTTACCCTTGTTAAGGTAGAATCCTGTTCTAGCCAGCATTTCTTGCAGAAGTATTTGCATGTTTATCAAGATTTTGCTATGTTTGCTAAATGTTCAGTGGCAGTACCAGCTGTTTCCTTCTACACTTGTGTACTCAAGAATTGTACTTTTGCCCATTAAAGGACTCAACTGTTTTTCAAAAATTAGTTAAAACGGCAATGTGATTTGTCTGCTGAAGGTAGGTATGGTTTACATTTAAACGGGCATTGTTGCTCCTCTGTCACACTGTACTTGAGCAGCTGAGTAGTATTAAGATTGTTCGCGTAATGGGACTTTTCCACTGCAACAGACATCTGATATGGGAACTTCTGTAATTCTGTAACTGTTTTTCATCAATGCATAGTCACTTCACTGCATGCTGCTGAGTACATACAGTCGGGCTCACATACCTTTCAAGATGTTCTTCTGGAGATGGTACAATTGTCTTGAGCTTCAACTGACTTTTGACACTGTAGACTATTAATTTTTCAAGATAAATGATTTTTGACTGTGTTATGGCAAAGTGCAGAACTGGATCAATGTTCTGCAATTGTTTTTTTAAATTTTCTTTATTTTGGTTAGTTTTAAAGCGATAATATAATCAAAATATTTATTCTCATTTTTAAATAAAACAGATAAATGTAATTTTTTAGCATTTGCAATTAGATTTACGAGGAATTATTCCAAACCTTATTGGGTCTCAATTTTGTATTTGGGGTAACAAGGTTAGTTGGAACAAAGTTGAACTGGAAATTGGAACTTCATAATCTTTTTGTGCTTAAATAAGGCAAAGCAACGTTCAGTCCTTAACTATTGCTAATTGAGTTGAATAACCTTTTTTCTTTCAAGCTTGGTGGTACACTCAAATAAGCCATTGAAGATTTCTGAAGAGCGGGTACAGGGCTACATCCAGAGTAGAAACCAGTACTACAAGAGTGTTCGCACAGAGGCAGATTCCAAGTCAGAAATTGATCCATATGCATTTGATGATGGAGATGAAGAGTTCAGCCTGCCTGATAAGAAGGACAAGCAAGGCAACGAGAGAGATCCTGGAAGGAAACATTCACAAAAGGTGAACTATAATTGAGATATTTTTCAATCAGTATTATTTCAGGGATTGTTTAGTTGCACTGTTTGTTTATTAGCGTGGCCGCTACCATTCAGTAAGTATTAGCTGTGTAACAGAGCAGTATGCCTGAATTATCACAAACTTATTACACTTTACTTTTTTGTTCTCAAGTGTAGAGAATTCAAAATGTTTTCTATGTATAGGAACACAGTGGTGAAACGTAGGTTGTGGATTTGTCAGTCAATAAAAGAAACCAGCTGGAGTGATGGATTGTACATTGGGTATCTTGCTACAAAATCAACGCAGATTGCTTTTAAATGCCATACATTTTTTCCCCCCTCAATGCTAACACGACCTAATGGCAAGATTTGTTAAATTTCCTGAGAGTGGCTCACTCTATTTTAGCTTTTATTTAGAACATGCTCAAGTTTTGACCCCTTTCTGCATTGTCATTATCATAAAAAACATTCTTTGTTACTAGTAAATTGTGAAGCAACTGAAGTGATTTTATTTATAAAACGATCTTATTTCTGAAGCAAATATCTTTTGCTGACATTTCCTGTTTATTCAGTGACTTTTTTTGGATCAAGAGTTTCATTTTATTTTGAAAGAAATATTTACTTTGTAAATATTGACCCTTTCGAAAACAGAAAATTTATAGAAAATACCTCTCAATTTATTTTTGACATTTGTATTGCACAGATTTGTATTAATACCTCTTTACTACTTTCTCCTATTTGGAGTTCAAATTACTGCATTGTACTACCTCATCGCTTCATAACTGGGAAAATTGCTTGTTCTGTCTTGTGAACTTTGTGGCGGTTGCACCTCAAGTAGGACAGGTCCTACCAGTTATTCCTGTGCCTGCCCCTGAGTCAGAACAGCTGCTGTTTTTGTTCATTGTCTCTAAAATGTGTCATTGGTTTTGTGAGGGTGATTGTCAAATGGATTAAAATTCGATTGAAAAATCTAGAGCCCACAGAATGCACTAAACAACTCAAGATTTTTGTTAAAGAGCATCATGGTCACTCTATTTTGAAGTGTTGACATTTATCTTATAGGCAACCTAGTGATCAGTTTGTGCATGCTAAAGATCCTATAAGCAGCGTAGGAAGTAATAAGTTGATTGTTTTCTTGAAGTATTTGATATACATGTATGTAGACTTCAGTTGTAAAAAGTCTGTGAAATCTTTCCAGCCTGTTATAATAAAGTAACTTAAATTTATGTTGTACCTTTTTAATGTTGCAAACTGTCATAAGGCAGTTCAGTGGCATAATTGGGGAAAAATGGATGCTGAATCAGGGTACACAATAGTAGGAAGGATAACCAAAAATGTGTATTTTAAAAACAGTCTGAAGAAGAGTCCCGACCCGAAACGTCTTCCTGCCCCCCTGATGCTGCCTGGCCTGCTGTGTTGCTCCAGCTCCACACTGTGTCATCTCTGACTCCAGTATCTGCAGTTCTTACTATCTCTGTCTTGGAGGATTATTTGGAGGTAGAGAGGAAGATGGGCTTAAAATGGACATTTCTAAAAATGTAGCTGAAATAGCTTGAATCACAGAGAAGAAGATGCACAAGACTCCAGGAATGGTGAATTATGGGGTGATATTAACATGAGGGTGAAAATTTTAAACTGCATGCATTGTGGGAGCAGAGTCCATATAATTCAGGAAGGCCAGGGATGATAAGTGGAAGGACCTTGACATGGGAGGGGATACCACTTGTTAGGTTGGTGGCAGTTGTCAGAAATCCAGTGCAAATGGAATTGCATTTAGAATTAGAAACACAATATATTGACCATAATTCCATATAAAGTTGTGCTGTCCTGTGGCTGCCTGTAGTTCTGGCAGTAGGTTGATGGTGTTGGCAAGACTAGCAAAAGATTTTAGGACATTAAAGAAAAGATTAAATTGCAAAGTTGGATTGTGAAATGTATAGGTTGTTAGTCTATTATAATATTAGTTAAACTTTAGATTCAGTTAATGAAAATTATATGGTTTGAACTTTTTAAAAAAAGCTCACTGCTTGTAAAGTCTACTTGGTTGAAAGGGCTTTTTCAGGCTGTGGCATGATATGCTAGAAGAAAGACTGGTTGTTTCCTTGACAACAAGGTGCAGGGCTGGATGAACACAGCAGGCCAAGCAGCATC